TGCACATCAGAATTGTACTAGTCATAGTAAGTCAGGTTGTTCTCTAACAACAATCCCAAACCTCAGGGGCTTGACACCACAGAGGGGTATCTCTCACCCACTTGGGTCCACGGACTCCAGGACAGCTGTCTTCCCTGGGCAAGTTAGCAAGCCACACTGCTTAGATCTTGAGGCCTCACTATCTTCACTCCAGTTTTCCTCTGTAGCAGAGGGAGTGAGGAGGTCTTGCGATGGTAATTAAATGCCCCGGCCTAGAAGTGACACATGTTATTTCTACTCGGCCCATTTTCCAGAATCTCATGGTCCTACCTAACTTCAAAAGCTCTTGGCTCTCCCTTTCGGCTGGGAGGAAAGAAGAATACGAATGAGCAAGCACTGGAGAGTTCTACCACAAGAATCCTCTGGTGAATGTAGGAAAAATACAGATGCCAGGGCCCTGCCACCACAAAGTCTGGTTCAACTGCCCTGAAAAGGGGCCTGAGGACTTACATTTTTGGCAAATGTCCCAGATAATTCTGATACAGTTGGTCCATGAGTCATTTGGGAACCACATGGACATTTGGGAACCACTGCCTTAAAAAAACTAAATCCCCTCTTGGTAACTATTGGCTATTGACATGGTAAAAACTGACATCCAGGAATGTACAAAGCACGTCAATATATAACTCACTGCTAAAATATGCAGCATATTCAATAAGTGCTGTAGGAAGTCAGTGAATATTGATGCTTTGTTTCATCTCTTGTTTGGGTTTTTCTCCCAGACAACTCACAGTAAACAACTTTTCCACAGCATGTATTTGCATGTGTGTGTATACTTTTTGTGGTGTGTGTGTGTGTGTGTGTGTGTGTGTGTGTGTGTGCATGCGTACACACTGGGAGTCCAGAGAAGAGAAGTGAGGAGGTCACATGTCCATCTTCCCCTGCAGGGTCTGTGGAATGACAGGGCCCTCCCTGTGCATAACCTCATTATGGCTTTTTAACCTATCAGATGAGCCAAGAGAGGACACCAGGGACTCTGAATCTATCTTTGCTCTGCCACTGCCTTACTGGGTGACCCACTGCGGGCTGCAAAGCCAGGCAACTCCATACATTGGGGCTAATTAGTCAGACTACGGATGACTCAACTCTTCCTCTCCTTTTTCCTCCTTCTTCTGAACAGTCTGTTCAATTAGTACTTGTATCAGCTGCTAGTTAAGAAGCCTGAAAAACACTGGCTTAAATATATTGGAGGGTTCTTTTTCTGCTTACACTAAAGAGATCCAGAGGTTGGCAATCTACAGGGCTCTAGGTTCCTTTTGACTTTCCACTTGACCATCCCCAGGGTGTGATCCTCTTCCTCATTCTCACAAAATGGCTGCTGAAGCTCCAGTCACCATATCTTCATCTCAGGGATGAATACAGGGAAGAGGAAGTACAAAAGGGGTCTCTGCCCACTGAGTCCAGAGAGGTACCATTGAATGACACCTGCTTCCATCTCATTGGCTAGAACTATGCCATATGATGACCTAAGCTGCAAGTGAGGCTGAGAAATGTAAGAGCTCAATAGACATCATGCAGCCCCAGTGTCAGGCATCTGGACTTTTTATCCTATTCCCAAGATATTCTGGGTCATGGAACAGAAAAGGGCAATCTCTTGCCCTTGGGCAGACACATGCAGGCTTGGTGGATATGATGAGGCCGAAGACCTAGCGTGCACAGAACAGAGTGTGGCCGAGGCGTCAGTCCCAAAGCCTGAGAGAGTGGACTTGTCAAGCCAGAGGCTGAGCAGGGACTCTCTTCTCTCCAACTCAGGGTGCAGGCACTGTGCTCCCTGAACACGAGGCCAGTCACCCCACAGACAAGGATTACTCATTCTAACAACACACTTTGTGGTGGCAGCTTTGTTCAGAAGTAGAAGGCACACAGAAGAGAAATTTGGCCTATCAATAGCCAAACAGCCTGGACCCTTTTTTCTAAACAAAAATGCGGGCTTGTTTTGATTATGAAAGTAAATACACAGGTACAGAGTAAAACACTCCCACAGTACAGAGGAGGGTGAATGAAAGTAAAGCTCTCATTCTTTCCCGCTCCTGCTCACCGACTCAGTCCCACGGCCCAGAGGCTATACTTTCATGGTTTTCCTGGCCTCCTTCGAATGTTTGCTTGCACGTATGTATGTGTACATTGTTCAAAAACCACACCAATCAGATCATGCTTTACATGTCATGCTGCAATTGTTCTTTCACATAGTATCTTGGTGATCATGCCACTTTGGCACCTGTAGAACCATCTTATTCTTTTGTATGGCTATATGGTGTGACTGTGCCATAATTTATTTACCCAGTCACCAGCTGAAGAACATTCTGGTCTTTCCAGGCTGTTGCTACCAAAAGCATTATTGTAATTCTCTGACACTTTTGTCAGGACTCCTGCCCCACTGGTCCATTATCTGGATCGAAAGCTGAGTGTGGCAGCTGGAGGAGAGGAGCTTTCGGACCTCAGGGAGAACTAGCCCTATTTCCTGGCACACAGACCTTTCCCCATCTAGGCCCATCCCTGGCCCCTCTGTGGGGGACCCGAACCCATGGCTTCCTCCTTTGTCCCAGGAATCCCACCCTCTTACCAACTCTACACCCAGGTCAGGGCAGGGTTGACATTTGTGAAGGCTCTGGGCAAATAAATAATATGAAGCTCCTTCAGCTGATATTCTGCAAAAATACTTGCTCAACTCTTATTTGCAGGAAAGGCTAAGTGCTGAGGAGGCAAAGGTGCACAGGTGATGGCAGTTCCCATCCTCTCCTTGGCTGCAAGAAGAAAGAGCCTACCCTATGGTGGGCCAGTCCTCCTCGGAAGGGATTTAGGTAACCACCTGTTATTACTAAAGCACATGCCCCGGGGTCTTCTTCTTCCACCTCCCAAACCCCATTCTAAGAAGCTGCTTCTTTCTGATCACGGACAATACTGGGGCAGGTAGGAGGCCTCAGCTGGTTAGAGTGCGGAAGTGATAAGGCTGTGAAGAAATTACTTTTTGACTTGACTTTAAAGCTGTGCTATGTTCTTTTTAAATGCTTTTCTTTTTAACTTCGTTGTATTATAAGCTTCAGTTCATAGCTTATAAAAAGGCAAGGTGGCTATAAACTCTGTTTGCTAGCAAGTCCCTGGGAGAAAGAAAACAGTCGTTGGAAGGCAGGCCCAACAAACCAAACTCATAAGGTCACATGTCGGGTCTCTGAAAACAAGTTCACTGGCTATTTTCTGGTGGCCACAAACTCTACTCTGGGCCCACGCATCATGATACAGTGCCTCATGCATTTCGGTTACAAAGGAGACCTGGCAAGTGAGTAGACCACTCCCTAACTGTTGCTGCTCTAAGAAGATAACTCAGTGACTGTTCTGCTAGTAGTGATATTATGACGTCATCCAGCTGTAGAGGAGGCCGTACCTCAAGACCTGGAGTACTGTGTTACCTGGCTGTCTGTGTAGAGCAAGGGGAGCAACTATGTACCCCACAGGCCTCCCACACCACATTCCCAGGACGTCTTGAGTGGATCACAGCACTTCTTTCCTCTGGTTGAACTCAGCCTTGACTTCTTTTCTAAGCAGTCACTACCAATTCCTTGCATATGGCATACAAGTTAAAACCTATTTGCCATCCTGAGTCGAGAGGATATTCAGAGTCAAATAAGACAATAAACACTTTCTTACAAATACAGTTTGCAAAACCATCCCAGCTTTGATTTGCCAATCTGGGGAAAAATTCAAGGTTTTTAAAATTTTATTTTATTCCAAAGCCATTAAGCACCAGCTCCTCCAGGCAATTGCTAAGCATGGTAAGTAAAAAGATATTTGAAGGATTTTTGTCCTCAATGAGCTCACAAACCAGAAGTGTATGTACCTTACTGTAATACATTTTGGTAAGTGTGTTATTTGTGCATGAACTGAGCCCTGTGTGTATACAGCAGGGGAAAAGAGGAAGAGTTTGAACTGACTTTGAAGGATGCTTGGCAGGTGGAGGATGAGAAAGACCACTCAGACTTAAGAAAAAAATGTGTGGAAGTCTTGGAATGCTAAAAGGACACAGTGCATTCTGGGAAGGGTGATCCTCAGAACTGGCAGAAGCATGAGGGCACAGGAATTGGGCAAAAAGGGAGGAAGTACGATTGAGAGGAAGAGCTGGACTGGTTGCACCCAAGAAGACAACTCCTGCTTTGACTTAAGCCACTGGATCCGTCTCTGCAGGTTGATTCAGGTGCCCTCTCCTCCATCTTCCTTTATCTCCAATCTTTGCTTCTTCATGGCAGGATGGATGCCTGGCTACTCAACACAGTGATCTCTGACTCCATCATCCTCAAAAGCCTGTAGACTGAGCAAAACTACCATTCATGCTAGAGACTGCTGGGGACCTCTGTGATAGGAACCACTTAGGAGCTTGTATCTGAGTCATTGGCATACAAACATTTCATAATCTCTTTGAGGAAATGAAGATGAAGCCCTGAAAATATCTCTTCTTTAGCTTTTGAATCTATAGTGCTTTTCCCAACTTTAACAAAGCTCATACAAATCCATCAGTTAATACGGAAGCTATCAGACTTGGTGAGACTCCATCAATACAACTGGCATTTATTCACATACTGCTCTATGCAGTTACTGAATTTTTCCATTATTAGATCATAAACTTTTTTGTATCCCTTCATAGCACCTAGCAAAGTTCCGGGAATGTAGTAAGTGCATACTAAGTTCTTTAAATGAAAAAGTGAAGAGGGACATGTTGAATGAAAGGGGCAAATGGACAGCATGACTTTATTGTGGTTTTGCCTTAGTTTTGTTGTGAATACTATTTGTGCCTCAGTTTCCTCACCAGTAAATTGAGGTGAATCTTATCAGCTCTACAGAGGTTACAGGGTTATGTTCAAACACCAAGTGAGAAATCATATATGTAAGTCCTCTGTGAACTGCTAAGATAATCTATTAAGATTTCTCTTTTAATTTCAATTGTAAAATATTTTCCTTCTTACTTTTAGACTTGCAACCTTATTTCTGGAAAGAGGGCCCAACAGGATAGGCAGTCTTTACAAAAAGGCTATTTACAAACACTACACAGATGAGACCTATTCCACGGAGATCCCCAAACCTCCCTGGCTTGGATTCCTGGGCCCCATCATGAGGGCTGAAGTGGGTGATGTGATTGTTGTCCACTTAAAGAACTTTGCTTCCCGACCTTACTCTTTGCATCCACATGGCGTTTTCTACAACAAAGATTCAGAAGGTAAGTATCAGTCCTGCGTTACTGGTGTCTTGGCTGTATTTCATAAATAAGGCAACTGCCAGTTACAGTTCAGGGGATTCTAAGACAGTGACTGTGCAAGCTCATCTGCCTTCTCCCCATCTCCTTCTGCGATCCTGCTCACTCTCTTCTTTCTTTCCCTTTCCCTGTTTCCTTCCCCTTTCTTTCTCACTCTTCTTTACATTGATATACAACCTGGTGCTGGACTCCCTTGGCACACGCTCCACCACGCCCCTGGAAGCCACTCACTTTCTTCCCTGTCAGTCAGCGGTACCTGCGCAGCACACTGGACAAAGAGCCACACACAACAATGGGTTCCAGCGCCCTATCACCAGGAACAGCCTTGGCTGGAGGGACAGTGTCTCAGTGTATGCTGATCCCAGCTTCCCTGCTTCAGGCTGTATCTTTGGTGCCTCCCTTCTGAAACAGCCCTGTCTTCTTGGGAGTACTTCAAAAGCTTCAACAGCAGTTTTTCCAGTCCTTCCTAATTAAAACATTTTTAAAAAAACAATATTCTTAGGCTCTTGAGCAAGAAGTATGCCTCAGAAGTATTTTTTGCATCCCTGTTGCATTCCTGCTCATGACCACAGGTCAAATGGTGTGACACCTGCTACAGCACTGGCTCTGGGGAAGGTGTCAGGCACAGTGCCATTAACTCTGATGAGGCTCACTTTATCAACAAGGAGGAGCTTCTGGGTATACTAACGTCCCAAGGCAGCCAAACTTGCTAGGGTTGCCACAGCCAGCTCCGTCTAAGCAGACAGAGGAGAGACCTCTGCTGAGGAGCACACGATTGGGATTGCCTTTTGTTCTTGGCCCTTTTCCTCTACCTGAAGAGAAGCAAAGCTCCCATATCTGGAAGTTCTTAGTTGCTGAGGATGAGCATACAAAACTGTGCCAGGTAAACTTTAAGGACTTTTGTAAATATAAAGGATAATCATTGATGCATTTTCTTTAATATAGTTATGTAAAAGCGTTATTTATGCTTCAGGTAAAAAGTAAAGATGTGTGTGCCTTATTAAATATGGAGAAAATAGGGATGCCTATAAATCTTTAATTTTTATCTTCACTAGTTCATGTTTCTGGGAAGTATACATTAATAAAGCTCATCGTATTCTGAGAGATCACCTAATGATTCTAAAGCTCTATAAGGTTCCAGAACCTTTTTTTAAAAACTGTGGCAAAATACACAGAATATAAAATTTACCATGTTAGCCATTTTTCAGTGTACAGTTCAATGGCATTAAGCACATTCACAGTATTATGTAATCTTTACTACTATCCATTTCAGTACCTTTTCATCATCCCTAACTGAAGCTTTGTACCCATTAAAAGGTAGCTCCCATACCTGCCTTCCCCCCAGTGCCTGGTAGCATCTGTTCTACTTTCTCCATGAATTCGCCTACTCTAGGTACTTCACATAAGTGGAATCATACAATATTTGTCCTTTTGTGACTGGCTTATTCACTCAGCATAATTTTTCAGGGTTCCATATTATATATAGCATGTATTAAACTCTCATTCCTTTTTAATGCCAACTAATATTTAATTGTATGTATAGTCTACATTTTGTTTATCCATTCATCTGTTAATGGACATGTGGGTTCCTTCTTCCTTCTGTTGTGAATAATGCTGCTATGAACATGAGTGTATCACAGAGCATTTTGAGAGTTTTATCAAAACCATGAGGCCTTGCATCAGAAAAAATATTTGTACACAGAATTTTGAACTCAATTTTAAAGAGTGAGCCCTTGAAACCTTTAAGCGTTGAAGTTGAGAGCACCCAGGAAACCTCTATACTCTTGTCTTAATAGGCCTCTTCCATCTCAGGAGTCTGTTGGTTTTCCTCATAGCACTTACCAAATTTGCACACTATAAGTGTGCTTTTCTGTGTGCTTCCTCATTTGTGTCTGTCTCTACCTTAAAGTGCAGGCTTCCCAGGAGCAGGGACTGGGCTGGGTTTTGCTGGGCACTGTTCCCCACTGCTTGGCATGGGGCAATTGCTCTGTCAACACTTTTTGAATGCCTCCCAGATCTAGACCTATATTATCACTTTGTAAATCAGACAGAGAGGAAACGTGCCTGGAACAAATTCTCAAGCTGGTTGGGAGCTGAGCTGTGACAGACCAAGTCTCCTGTCTCCCATCCCAGGGCTCTCCCATTGCTCCACACTCTCCTGAGCCTTATGCAGGCAGCCAGGCAGCACTTCCCCTTCCTGTGTGCAAACCTCAGCAGGCCCCCATGAGGCCCTAGCTTGCCAGAGGGGCTCTTGGTAAAGTTTGGAGCAAAGGCCAGGTCCCTACTTCATGGTGTTAGATCCTCAACTCACTTCTTCTCACTGACAATATATAGTTTTAAAGGTTTACCTTCTTTCATAAACCTTCCATTGAACACCTACTAGGTGCCAGACATGGACTCTGGGTCCTGAGAATAAAAGATGAATGAATCAGAGGCTATAGTAAAAAATTAATGATTATAAGTAATCAGAATTATTTTGGGGCTCTCAATCTATACCACTGTTCTATATATTATCCTTGCACCAATGCTGTACTATCTTTATTACTGTGGATTTATAGTAAGTTTCGAAATTGATAGTGTAAATTCCCCCAGCTTTGTTCTTCCTTTCCAGGCTTTTTAGCTATTCTAGGTCCTCTGCATTTCCATATAAATTTCATATCAGCTTGTTAATTTTTACCAAAAAAAAGCTAGCTGGAATTTTGATGAGATTACACTAAGGTTTACCTGGGGGGAGATTGCCATCTGCATCTTAATGATGAATTGCTATTTTGACAATACTGAATCTTCCAATCAATGAATATGGAATATAAATCTTTAATTTCTATTAACAGTCTTCTAGTTCTTATTGTACCAGATTTGCATTTCTTCCATTAAATTTATTTCAAAGTATTTGTCTTGATGATGTTATAAATGGAACTTTTCTTAATTTCATTTTTGCATTGTTTGTTGCTAGTGTATAAAAATACAATTGATTTTTATACATTTATTTTATATTCTACTAACTTGTTAAACTTGTTTATTAGTAGATGTTTAGAGGATGCCTTGAAATTTTCTATATACCGAATCATTATCATTGTGAACAAAGACAGTTTTACTCCTTCCTTACCAATTTGTAAACCCTTAATTTTTTTCTTGTGCCTTATTGCACTGGCTATAACATTCAGGACAATATTTAATAAAGGTTGTGAGAGAAGGCATTCTTGCCTTGTTCCCAGTCCTAGGAGGAAAGCATTCATTCTCCCTCCCATTAAACATGACATTAGCTGTGGGTTTTTCTTTGATGCATTTGATCAGGATGAGGAAGTTTCTATGTATTTCTAGTTTGTTGAAAGTTTTTAATTGGGTAACTACCAGATTTTGTTAAATGCCTTTCTGTTCCTTTTCATGTGATAATGTGCTTTTGTCCTTTAGTAATATGTTGTATTACATAATTTATTTTTGAATGTTAAACCAACTTTGCTGGAGTTGGTCTGTGAATATTTTGTTTAGAATTTTTGTGTCTACATTCATGAGAAATATTGGTCTGTAGTTTTCTTGTGATACCTTTACCTGGCTTTGGGATCATAGTAATGTTTGCCTTATAGGATGAATTCAGAGGTATTCCCTCCTCTATTTTCTTAAAGATTTTGTAAAGGATTGGCATTATTTCTCTTTTTAGAATTCGATAGAATTTATACATGAAACCATCTGAGTCCGAGTTTTTCTTTGAGGGAAGATTTTTAATTACTATCTCCACTTCCTTATGTATTATAGGTGTGTTCCAATTTTTTATTTATTCTTGAGTCAGGTTTGGTCATTTGTGTCCTTCTAGGAATCTGTCAGTTTCATTGAAATTGTCTAATATTTTGGCATAAAATTGTTTAGAATGTTCCCTTGGGGTCCTTTTAATTTCTTTATGGTCAGAGTGATGTCCTACCTTTCATTCCTGCTTTTGGTAATTTGTGTCCTTTCTCTTTCTTGGACATTCTAGACAACATTTTCTCAATTTTGTTCATTTTTTTAAAGAATGATTTCTGGTTTCATCTATGTTTTTATTGTTTTTTTCTCCTTTGTTGAATTTCTGCTCCAATCTTTATCATTTCTTTTTTTCTACTTACTTTAGGTTTAGTTTTCTCTTTGTTTTTCTAGTTTCTTACAGTGGAAGCTTATGTTACTAATCTAAGACTTTTCTCTTTTGACATAACTGTTTAACGATTCATTTTAAGGACTGCTTTAGCTGTATGCCATAAATTTTGATATGTTTTGTCTCCATTTTTATTCAATTCAAAATATTTACAACTTACCTTGTGATTTCTTCTTTGACTGATGGGTTGTTTAGATGTGTGTTGTTTATTTCCAAATATTTGTAGGATTTGCAAGATTTTTGTTAGTTGATATCAAATTGGATCCCATTGTGATGGGCAGATATACTTTGCATTCTATCAGTCCTTTAAAATTTATTTAGATTTATTCTATGTATAGCCAATTATCTATCTTGAGGAATGTTCCATGTGCTGTATATAAAACAGCTGTATTCTGTAGTCATTGGGTGGAATATACTATTGATGTCAGTTGGCCAAGTTGGTTGACAGTGTTTAAGTCTTCTATACCCTTGTTGATTTTGTTTATTTGTTCTATCAGTTACTAAAAGTGAGGTCTTGAAATTTCCAACAATTATTGAGTTGTGTATTTATCCTTCAGTTATATTAGTTTTTGCATTATGTGTTTTGAGACTCTTCTGTGAGATATGAATACATTTATAATTGTTATATCTTCCTGATAGATTAACTTTTATCATTACAAAATTTTTGTTCCTAATAACATTTCTTATCTTAAAATCTAATTTGTCTATTATTGAGAGCCATGTTATCTGTCATATTGTTACTTGCATTGTTTTGCTCTCAACCTATGTCTTTGAATCTGACACACAGATTGCATATAATTGGATGTCACTTTTTTGTCTAGTTAGGCAATTGGCAATCTTT